CTACTTGAGGAACCCTGGGGGGCTGTTTTTTTGGTTGTACCTTCTTAGGGTAACCACGGGAATCCTCCGCATCGATTAAAGGCTGGGAAGGGACAGACGGGGTTCTCCCGTACCGAGGCGGGGGGGGGGGGGGGGGGGTACTCATGTAAACGCGTGCTGTAGTCTTGAGACCATTGACCTCGCAAATGCCAAGATAAAGCGATATGCCGGGTTTTCGCCGGCCCATAATAGGGGCGGGGAGGGGGTCAAGAAGAGACAAGAGCCGCACGGCATCGCAAGCGACCGGCTGATGACTCGGAGTGGAAAACAAAAGTAGGTGAGAACGCAAAAAACAGGTTTCCAACCACCATGACGCCACGGCGGCTTACAAAAACACAACTAAAGTACCCACATATATGAGAATCCGGGAAAAGCGAACCCATAGGGTTTAGCGGGAACATTGATGTCATCTCTCATCAATGTCAGCGGCACAACCACGATAAGAAAAAATTAGCAATGAGCCCAAAGCGTTTCGAGGGAGCCTTGACGCCATCTCACATCAGCTTCAGCGGCGCAATCACGCGCAAGGAAGGGCCTTCTCGAGCACGCCGCACGCAGGTCGGCCAGTCCACCAACGACAGCCAGGACGTACCGTTCCCGTCTTCTTCCTCCCGCGGGCCTGCGGCGGCACCAACAGCACTCTGCGGGGCCCCCGGGCGGCAGCCGCCGCCACCGCCGCCGCCGCCGCCCTCACTTTTGTCGAAGGGGCGAGTGAACCTAATACCAAAACGAGTGAGAGACAAATAGGTGTACGTGTAGAATTTGTTTTGGGGGGTGTATCTAGGTGCCGTTGTTCTTCATCTTCAGACACAACGCATACGCACGCCGACATCAATACCTCCACCGCCTCCAACGATCTACCCCCCCCCTGCTCCGTCTTCTCAAGGACGCGTGGTCAACGGTCTAACAACCAAGGCATGCAAAACATGAGAATGCCCCCCCGCACGTCTCCTCCATCCCGCCGCAAGCAATTCAATGTTGGCAGTGCCGTAAGCCGTGGGCAAAAACCCGCGTAGATCTACCCGGGCCCAATGTGGAACGGAGGCGGGATAGGAAAATGAGGCGGAACATACCGTAGATTGCAATAGGCGCGAGTTGGTTTCTCATGCAGAGTGGGGGAGAAGGCGAACAACGTGCCCGTCTCGGGGTGCAGTACGTTGTCAAACACGTGTCGGCGTTTGGGGAGGGGGGCGCGGGGTACACCCAGATGTCTAACTAGGTATATACCGCAGATGAAGATAACAATGGACCGTAGATAGGTGTGTTGGTGGTTACGGCCGCCGCAAACAAAGCATCACGTGTTTTCTTGTCATCGGGAAGGGAAACACCTCCTGATAATCATATCCTTACGTGCCCGCGTATATCGCCCGCGTCACCGGCACCAACCAGCACCAACAATCCCCCCCGTACAGGGAACGACATGCAGTGAAATCGGCGCCCACGCGTAAGTGTCAGCGCAGCAGCAGCAGTACAACTACGTCAGCGCACCTGAGCAACGGTAGCTTGGTCGCGGACTGGCAGGCGACCAGCAGCCGTCCGGCGGCCTCCCACGGGACCAGTTCTACCGATTTCGCGGGGCCCCCTGCGTCCTCGCCGGATCCGACTCCATCTCCGCGGTCGCCGCCGCCGCCGCCGCCGCCGCCGCCGCCACCGCCACCGCCGGCAGTGCTCGCGTCGCTTTCCAGCAGCAGCAGCTCTTCCCGCTTCTGCTGCGCGCCCCCCCGGGAGTAGACGCCCTTGAGGAAGTCCCCGTCGACCCTGATGCGCACTGCGTGTCCTCCCTCGAGCCGCTCCATCAGGCGGCAGCACAAGACGGAAGCGCTCTCCACGGTCGCTCCCGCGACAGCCTTTCGGGCGTGTCAGAGAGAGAGAGAGAGCAGGCATCGACCGCTGTTGCTCAGACACCCGTTTCACGCACAAGGCAAGCTCGGGAAAGTCCGAGGGGTACTCTGCGCCCCCCCCTTGCGATTAGCGAGGCGTGTTTATGTGTGTATGCTTGTTCGTCCCATCTATTACGGCGCCAGTCTACAGGCCTTTCGGCCTAGATGCCTGACGTATCAGCCGTGGTCACGCAAGCGGAAGGATATTGTATCGTTGTTTTAGTGGCCCGCCGTACCCCCCGCGGTGCTTGCCGTAGTTCTTATCGCGAGAAGGATTCGGTCATCCCTGTCGTTCCTTCGTCGACCGTAAAGCCACGAAAAATTGCGTAAGAAAATTGGAGGCAAAGCACCGTCGTGGGGGGGTGGGGGGGGTGGGGGGGGGGGGGGGGGTG